AGGTTTAAGAGCTTGATTTTGCTGTAAATAAAATGGCTTTAGGGATGGTGAGTAACCAAAATTAATAATTAGTTTAAATTAAAACGATCCTCAGGTTCTCCTGTGTAGCTCGGTCCACATTCCTCCATGTGAAATTATCTTACAAAGCGCTCTTTACTTTCATATTAAAGCTTTAGTACATAAAATAATTAAAATAAATTCTACAAATCTTTTGACCCATTGTTAATCTAAAATATTAATTTAGAGCTGCTTTAATCTCACTTTGACTTGAAGCAATCCCTGCTTGTCTGTGGTTTAATAATATAGCTGATTCATATCAGTGCTGCATACATGACTCAAATATCTGCCGAAATTAATTCAAAACTAAAAAGCGTAAGAGTGGATGGACATCCTGCAGCCCTCTTTGTACAAATTTATCTACCAGCTCAGTCTGAATAAGGGTAATATTTATGTGTTTTGAATAAAATCTTAAAATGCCCACTGTGGTAGCCTGTGGCCTGCATTAATGTGCATGGATCATAAATTTGATGCAGGGATCAGTCAATAGAAAATCATGTCTTCCAATAAAGCAGACACTGTTGCATAATGTCTCTGCAGAGTTCAGTCTTGTTTTCAGGTGTGTATCAAGAACGGGTGTCTTTAAACAAAGTTTCAGAATTGTGTAGACATCTACCTCGGTGCAACTACTACAGTCATTGAGGTGGAAAGAAATGTGTGAACACCATGAAATCAGAGCTAAATATGATGGGGTAGAAGCATAATTTAGGTTTTTTGACTGATGTCTGCATCTTCGGCTGTAACTGCCAAGCTCACTTGGCATCACTATTACAAAGGCCATATAACCAGCAGCAGCATCACTCTTGACTATGAAATGGAGCCATCCAAAGAGCTTCCTGACAAAGAGTTGATGAATGTTTTTAGTGCATAAAAGCCCATGAAAAAGGAAGGGGGAGTTTTTCCTGCACTGTGTGAATCATTGTCAATGTTCTCTGTTTGATTGCTTTAACCTGCTGAATTATTTTTCTATCCAGGTGAGTGACTGAAATCGCAAATGTACGTGAAGAGAATAAAAAAAAAAACCTTCACAGCGAGGCTAAAAAACCTCGTAAAGGAGTTTGTGTCAAACCTTGACATGTCAATAAAAAATGCTCACCTCTCAAAAGTCAATTATTGATGCAGACCTCCATCGCAATTTAAATGCTACGTGCAGCGAGGAGGTGGCGGTAGGGTGCAGATGACCTTCTTTTCTTAATGCTCAATGTTTGAAAATACTCGGCTTCAACTTTTTTCTAAAAAAGGGAGGAAAAACACAAAGACAGAAAGTACACACCTTTAAAATCCTGACATAAAGAAGAGGAGAACAAACAAAGCGCACATTTCGTGATTTTATTTTGATATTCCATTTATGTCAAATACGTGTTATTCCTTGTCTGCTTGCTTCACTGTCGGTTTTCATATGCCCTTCTGCAGTTCACATAAAGGCCCCACTGTCACAATAAGATAAGTGTGCATGTGTATGTGAGTGTGTGTGAGTGTGTGTGGCAAAGAGAGGCATTTGTCCATGAGGCTGACATCTGTAGGGCCTGAACAAACACAGATAAAGTCTCTTGTGAAGTGTTCTCAGAAGCACATGTCTCCTCTCTGCTACACTGCAGTACTGTGGTATAATAACCAAACAGGAAGGCAGTCAGCAGGTGGAACCACTATAGGGCAAAGTGGCATTTCCAACCAATGCAGGTTTTAACTCTCACACAACCGTCTATAGGGAGTGAAACAATTAACACTTCTCTTTCCAGAAGACCTCAGATCCAAACTAGCATTTCTCTTGAACCAGAGATGAATCAGTACGACTGCAAACACAGGACATTCTGTGTGCATGCATGGGGGGTATGAGGGGATAACTCACTTAAGGATGTTTGTGGCTGTTACTATAGTAACAAGAATAACATGTCTTTTCCCCCACAGTCCGCTCTGTCCTGAGGTCCAGTAAAAAAAAAAAAAAGTCGCACATATATTTACAAAAGAGGATTAGGGCCACAAAAAGAGGGAAAATTATTACAGAAAGGAGATTTTTTTAAATTTCCATTTCAAGATTAAAGTTGAAATTTTGAGAATAAAGTCTAAATTTTAAAAAGTCAAAATGAAATGCTGTATGGCTTAAGTTTATCACAGCCATCCATGTGCCAGAGCACATTGGGTCCTTGGCTTTGGTAATGCCTCAGACACCGGACTTGTCTGTGCTCCATCCCTTCAGGATTGATCAACTTGATCAGTTGTCTTATTGTATCTTGTGATGCAACATAACCTCGCTGTATAGCATGCAAGTGTAACCATCGATAACCCTGCATCTGTGTCATAATCATTGGCACAGTCTTTTCAGAGTACGAACACTTATGACCACGCTGTGTTTGTGTACTTAAAGAGCAAGGATTTCCTTGTTACTGAATCCAATTCTAAAGTACAGCTTTACAAACTGTTCTACAGAGGACATGTTGTCAAGTGACGAGCAGCAATGCTGTTGATTTATTATCAGCAATCTCAACATTACGACTTTATTCACGGAATTTCAGTGTAAAAGCGTCGACTTTAATTTTGTAAATTAGACTTCAATCTTGAAATTTCAATTTAATTCACAAAATTTCGACTTTAATCTCGAAATTTCGACTTTAATCTCCTTCCTGTAATTTTTTTTCTCTTCATGTGGCCCTAATCCTTTTTCGTATATTTTTTTGCAGGTCTGGACAGTGTGCTCTTGTGTTGTGTGTGATGAGCTGTTAGCATCTACACTCATGACTATGCCATGTGCTCTCATCATGATGAAACCCAAGTCTGTAGAGATACTAAGAAATAATATAGATAAGCCCATACTGTCTATACACTTGTGAAAAAAATATCTCTTTATGTGTCAGTGTCCCCAGACAAATACAACCCCTGATTATAATGTCAGTTATAATAACTAAAACAGACTTTATGTAGAGGACTGTTACTTTCGGGTCATCCTGAGGTTGAAATTTTGTTATTATCATATTATCCTTTAAAAGCACCATGGTGCCATTTCTACCTGCTCTTAGTAAACACTAAAAGCATAGATCAAACTATATGCGGCTCTTAGTCCTGAGGTTCAGTTTGTGTTCGTGTCTTTTATCTTTATAAAGACAGAGAAACGTAAATAAAAACACTACATGAGTTAATAAATGATATGAGATTTTACTTTGACAGGTTGATGAATCATTCATTCTTGGATTTTCTACAGATAAGGTCCCAAATGTTATGCCATAGGTAATTCAGGTTTTATCAATATGTTATTTGTTTCCAGTTTATGAGGTTTTATCGTATTTAGTAACCTTGTGATGGCCTGCAGGTTTGAAAATGGAGGTTAAGTGCACAATATCCAAGAACATAAAGCTACTTTAACACATTGAGCTCAAATTAACATATAAATAGGTAGTACATTTTTGAACTTGATGGTTTGAAAATGTCCTTTTTTTCTGTTTCAAGTACAACTTTAAGTGTTTTGGGGGCCAGACTGTGTCATACACCCTGTGGCTCTGACTCTTTCTGGTAAGCCAAATACGTCACACAGCCTGGAGCTGTTCCTGAGGGGGTTCAGCCAAAGCCCGGTACAGACTATCATGCATCACAACATGTGCAATGTTTCTTCAGAGGGTGAGGGCAACAGGGCAGCTGTATTTTTTCCCCCATGATGTGAGGGCCATTGGGTGCTTGTTTTTCTCAGTAGTGTGTGTGGGGAAAGTTATGAAGCATTGGCAGAGAGGTTGACAATCGATGGCGGACAAGGGAAGAAAATATGCGATAGAAACTTACAGATACAGGGGAAGAAAACATGTGACGGAAACTTACAGATACAAGCTCGATTCAATCACAATGAAACATAGCTGGTCTGTGGCTGACAATTGTCTTTATAAGATTCCTATATACAGTCCATTCCACTTAAATCTACTGGGAAAATATGTTGAATACCATCTATTAGAAGTACTATACCTTTAAACACAATAATTGATTAATCCTGTCATCTCATCTTACAACTATTTTCATATAAATGATTATTTGAGTCATAAATAACACCATTGATTACATATTTCTCCCTTTACTGATGCCAGCATTTTTATACGCTCCAAACAAGAATGAAAACTCACCGAAAATGACCAAAAAACGCACCCACTGGGAAGCCCTCTGATCAAGTTAAGGACTTACCTTGGAGAACTTCACTTATGAGGCGAGCAGAACAGAAACTTTGCCCTCACACACAGGATGAGTCACCCGTCTGCCAGTGGTAGAGGTCAACACAGATGTTGCTGCAATAAAAGATTCAAAGCTGTTGTGCAATCGCCCGTGTACTTGTTCATTCAGGTTGGTCAGAGAAGAGCGGTTAGATGTGAAAAGTCAAGAACAAAGTTTTCTGTCGTCTCAGTGTTTCACATGTCAGTCCTCACTGAGGCCTTGTGGAGCAGTGGGGGCCCATTTTCACATGAAGTGGGGATGTTGGGCATTGGGATTAAAATCAAAAGATGCTTGGTGCCTGAAATCAGCAGAAAAAAGATCGTTTTATCAACAAAAGCTTAAAGGGGTATTCTGGCATAAAATTAAGTTAGGGTCAAACACACCGTAACACTGAGTTAGACACCCCTTCAAGACATGAATGTTGCAGACCACTTCCTTCTGTAGTTTTACCAACTTTAGTAACGACCGCAGATAGCAATACAGAGAGCCATGCACTCAACCAGAACGCCACTCTATAGCCACAAATAATGCTCAGAACAGCACCTAACTTCATCAACAGTACATATAGGGTCCCAGCCATGGCACTAGTCACCAGACATCTTTTTCGCTTTGTCTAATTTCTTTCGCAAAGAGACTAAACACAACTCACCCACTCTCTTCCAGCAGCAGCTTGTTGAAAATGATTAAGTAAATGTTCTTCCTTGAGCTGCGTCACCCCGCTGCAATCCGTAATGGACTGGCCTGAGGTCTCACTACAGACAAGCTGCTGCTGTAAGAGAGTCGGTGAGTTGTGTTTAGTCTCTTTGCGAAAGAAATCAGGCAAAGCTAAAAAGATGTTTGGTGGCTAGTTCTATGGCTGGGACCCTATATGTACTGTTGATGAAGTTAGGTGCTGTTCTGAGCATTATTTGGCTATAGAGTGGCGTTTTGGTTGAGTGTGTGGCCCATGAGACCGCTGTGTATTGCTATCATGCGGTCATTTCTTAAGTTGGTATAACTAAAGAAGCAAGCGGTCGGCAACATTCATCTCTCGAGGGCGTCTAAGTGTCCAAGCAGCTAGTGGCTATTTGTTGTGGTTACTGTCCACTATAAGTCAAGCACAGTAGTACTAGCTGTTTGGTAGATCTGGTTTTATAAGAAGTAACAATTTCAAGGCTGCAATTAAAGTAAAAATAAAATGTTTTACTCCCCTCAGGTTTAGTATTGATGTAAGAATAATTATGGAAGATGTAGCACCGATTTCCAGAGAGTCAACAGGAAAATCTGTCCCGCAGCGTTGGCAGCTGTTCCCACTCAGAATCATTGGAGTCCTTATTTTTGGCTTGAATTATCTTCAAATGAAGCTTACATCCAAACTTGTCAGGTTCATAAGGCTCAAATCAAGTTAATTGTTATACTTTGACTTTAGTTGAGTATATTAAGTTCAGTTTTCAGTTTGGCAAGGATACTTAAAGAAAAATCTGCTAAATAAAACAAAAGAAAACTTCTATTATTACTTCCTTTGAATAGAGCTTTACCTCATTATGCACCTCATTATGCTGCTGTGCAAAACTCTTTTCAGTGGATGGATTTGATATGACATGTCCGATCAGGTTGTCCCTTGGGAACTAGCATTAGAAATTCAGTACGTTGTTGCAGAGTTTGGACCAATCAGAATCAAGTGTTTAACACAGCTGAGTAAAGAGTGATAAAGCTGGTTAATAAATATATGTAAATATAATATATTAAATCCATTGACTCAGCCCATGACTCAGGCGACTGCAAGATTTACAAAGGGACCCTTTTTACAATCCCATATAGGGGAAAAAGATCACTCTCTGTAAGATGTTTCGCCTTTTTTTCAGGAGGAGCTGATGATACTGCTCACCACTGACAGGAAGAAGGCTTCACAGCCGGGTTTTTGAAGTTGACCTGCAGACAAAGATAAAAGATCACTGGATAAAAGTACATCTGGAGATCCTTTTGAAGATTCTGAGCTGCACAGACTATAAGGCAACATTTTATAAAATCAACAAACTAAATTCAGGAAAAGCGCACAATTCCCTTAAACAATGACACCCAATCCGAGTTTATCTTTACTCTATCAGAGTGTGTGTCTCGCACTGCTAAGCGGATGATACATAAGCCCTCTGGCAGCTCTCCATTTCCTGTCCCTCCTTGTAAAAAAGACTGTTCATATCAGTGTTGAGGTTAGGGATGCTTGGTTCAGCATAGATCCCTGTTAGGATAAGGCCCCCCATCTCCCCGTTTCCACCCCCCTGTCCATATCTGAAGCCCCTCCTGTGATTTCCTCTTGACACGTGTTATCTGACACCGCCTTGCAGTCCAACAAATCCAGCTCCCAGAGCTCACACCTTGTGTGGCAGCGGAGACTGAATCCATGGCAGGTTTAATGGCAGAGCGGTCACTCATGCAAGGAGAGTGCTATATTTTAAACAAAACTGTGAAATACCCCCTGACGGTTGTCTCTCTTTGGTTCTCTTTTTAAATGTAGCACTGAATATGCATATTTGATGCCAAGCCAAGTACAAAGGCCCCTAAGTTCACTCTTGTGACAGCTACTTTTGTTCAACATGGGTTTTCCATTTGTTGTTGCAATTATTTATCCTGATATTTTACCCTGCAAAACATCCAACATAAATTGTGCATGCTTTGACTCCAAGAGGCTTGTAAATACACTTTGACAGCAGCTCAACTAAAAGATCTTTTCTGGCACTTTTAGCACTGATATTATCTGACAAGTGAGATTAAATCTTTCATTTGCGTCTTTCACTAACTCCTCTTTTTCACAGGTTTTATGGCAGCACTGTGATGCCTTGTCTTTTGTGCAAGGGGGCAGAATTTTAGTTTTTTTTTTTCCTTCTTTTTTCATGTTAATCTACATAAAAAAATCTGTTTTCATTTGGAATAGATGATAGTGATATAGGCCTTATAAGGACCAATGCTAATGTGATGCTAATTATAACAAAAGGCCATTAATCAGTCTGATTAACTGACCAGCTGATTAATTGCTCGATCTCTATCTATATAGCCTTTAAAATGGTAATACAGTAATAACAATGACATGAAGTTATGTTTTTGTCAAACAATACTCCATTGTTAAAGTTGTTGTAGTGTATGACAGGTCCATGTGTGTTAAGGAGCCTTCACACAGCAAGGATTTCCAGACACGCAGATGAAGAGTTTGACTCACTCCAAATTTTAGCACCACCATGAATTTTTTATCAGCTGAGGCTCATGAGGAAGAGGGAGGGAAAACGCTAATCTGAAGATCGGCATTCGATCATCATCTCCTTCAGTCTCCATGTCAAAGTTTCCTCAGGCAACAAACGAAGCTCTATACTGAGTATGTGTGAATGTTAAGTACAACGTAAATTCCATCCCTACGAGCTGACACTGGCTTGTCCTCTGCTATCAGCATATGAATGTGTGCCAGTGACAGAATATGACAAGTTTTGAGGCTTAAAAAAGCTCCATAAATCTTGTCCATTTACCATTTTCTTCTCAAAATGTCACTGGAAATGCAAAGCGTGCTGTGGGGGAGTTCATACCCCGACTGTGTATCACCTAGAAGTAAACAGGCCATAACACTCAATGACACCAAAAATATAACGCAGACAGACAGAATCTTGAAGATCCCCATGGGGATGTGAGGGACTGAAGCCCTCAAGAAGACATGTGACCTACTTGGCTTAACCTGCCTTTGTTCAAGTTTGGTCTTGGAGCCAGCTGTGACACGTCTGCTGCTGTCAACAGGAATCATGGGATGTAGGGCAGACAGATGTGGAGGAGACAGTCTGCATTGATGTGTTGGCTTCTCCAGCTCGACTGCGTAGGCAAAGATGGCAGCTCTAAGTGCCGGGTGTCCGCGCAGCCGGGTCGCCTGGGAACATGCTGACCGTACGCACGCCAGTGTTGGCAGAGGAGCAGCGTTAACGACAGGAGAAAGGCCATTCTACCCTGCTCACTCGGTGTGTCCGGTCTGATTGTACCTGGAAGAGAGTAAGAGCACATCAAACATGTAGTGCACACTAATGAGAATACACAGACCTCACATTTTCTCCTCTGGAATAGGTTTTCTTCACATGGGATTTGATTAAAGAACTCCTGCCTTGTCTTTTTCACACGTATTGTCAATTAAAGGCGCACAGAGACAGCTCCCTCTTGAGCGATTCTAATATCAGACATTCAGAAATATTTGCGTATATGCAAGCTTGATGGCTGACGAGAAATAAATCCACTCCTCCTCCGAAGCATCAAAAACCAACAGCTTCCCTTTATCAATGTGAACAGAGCAGCTTCAAATCCCCATATGACGAAGAAAATAGAGCCTTTAGGGACTGAAGAGAGAAATGCATTGTAAGCTAAGACCATTATGTTACTTCAGTCTTCTTTAAATTGCTTTTGTGCTCTGAAAATATTCATCAATTCTATGACAGGGACTGTTTTCTCTGCCCCCGAGTCTCTCCCCAATCACTGGCGGGTGTTTTACAGTAATACTATGTTCCTTATCTGTCATGACTTTTCAAGATACTGGCAGTGGTACTGTAAATGAGCCCGCTCTGCTCTGCAGTAAGACAAAGCTTCCTGGTTTAATTGGAGCTCCATTTATGAGGAATAAAGAAACTGGCAGTTCCTCCTGCCTTTATTCATTGCAGGAAACGTATGTGGATTTTATTTCACAAAGAGCTTAATTTTTCCTTCTTCTGGCCGTCACTTCCAAATAATATTTAAATGGGGGTTTGACAACACAGCAGTAGGAGTAGATGACAGAAAGGCTGGCGGTAAAAGTAATTTAAAACAAGAAGCCTGACAGCGAGCGGGAACAGAAAGTTTGAAGGAGTTTTAACAGTAAGACCAGTGTTTGGTTGGGCTCTGACCAAGTTTGATCATGACAAATGTATTAAAACTGAAAGCACAAAGTAAGAAAGAAAAAGAAAAGTGAGCACTTTAGATTAAACAAGACAATAATTGTAGATCAGACTGTGATACAAAAGAAAAAAGCAATTTGTCGTATTTGTTGTTACAATCATCTTTAAAATATATAGTTTCTCTTTTTGACTTTATTTTTAATCAGGTATGAATCTGTTCTTGTGACAAACCAGTGGAGAATCATAATCACACTCTTTTTAGTTTTCCTTATCTGCTTATTTTTAAAGTCTGTGGTTCATTATTGCTTTGGCTGGTACAGTCTGCCACTCTTGTAAATTATTTCAGCCAACAAGTGTTCCCAATTAACGGAAAAGTGCATTGTTTTTTTAGTTTTTTTCTTCTGTGTGGTTATCAGACGCAGACAAAACATACTAGTATCCAATCAGACGCACTTACCAGAGGATGCATTAAGCTGTCTGCACTTTTTTAAATAAGAGTAGAAAAATAAATCAGTTTTATGGTGTGACGCAGTGATGCAGGAGTTTTTTTTAGGTGAAGGGAGAAAAATATAATGGGAGAGTCTGAATAGACTACTTCTATAAAGGTCCCCTATTATGAAAAATCCACTTTTGGGTGGTTTTCTGCCAATAATATGCACCCCTTGAAGCTGACAACCCTCCCTGACATGAAAACTTTCATTCTCTCCCTCTCTTGCTTTCCCTCCTCTCTGAAAACATGAGTGCAAACGGGTGGATGGAAAAGCTGTGCGGTTATGACGACATAACCGCAAAAGCCTCTACTACATGTTGGTGGCACTGCCCCTGATAATCGTTAGCCCAGCCCTCTAAAACTTCTTTGCTGAAGTAGCGTCTGACCCAGCCTCTGCACGTTTCTTGGCTTCACAAACTAAGGCAAGTCTTTTTCTGCCTCCTTCATCTGAAGATTTGAGGACCCAGTGTATCAATTTTATTTTAGATGGAAATGTACACACAACAACTCTGAAAATGTTTGCTAACCCTTTCACCACAGACTGTTTTACCAACGAGGGGCAGTTCAAAGCAGGATTCGCTAAGAAGCTTAAGATAAAACCTGGATCCGTTCTGACTGTCCGTGTCAGGGACAAAACTTCAAATGCGGAAGCTGTAAGTTTTACTATTTTATGTTGCTTTACCGCTGCCCGTATGACTAGTGCTTTGGCTGCATTCCAGTGTGTTTACCATCGTTGGTGTTTGTCTTCAGACTCACTTCTATTTTCTATTTACTTTTATTCCCATGAGCAACGGGTGTTCCTTGGGGGCGTGGAGGCAGGCTGGTCCTTCCAGCCGCAGTGGTCTGGAGGTCCTCTGAAGAGGTCCTCAGAAGATCTCCAGACCACCACTCCTGGACCATCACGGCGGTTCCGGCAGCTCAGAGTGGCCTTGGGGAGGAAGATGTTTACACACAGCTCATTATCATTTAAAGGTACAGGCGCAGAATCAGGGGGGGGGCTGGTGTTTAAACGACAAACTTCAAATTTACTATTGTGAGACCTCTGGGACTGATTTAAACTTGATGAAAAATGCCACAATAGGAGACCTTTAAAGCCTCTATCTATAGTTTTTCACTTTTATAAACAGATTCAAATCAACAGTGATGATCTAAACAAGACCAATAACAGCAAGAATGACAACTTTAAAGTCCCTGTTTCCACCTCAAGATGGTAGGTGTCAAATGAGTCAGTTATATATGAATGCACATCAACTACTCTTTCACATTATTAACTCTTACAGCAAAGACAAACAGACTTGGTGAGGAGGTGGTAAAATTAGAGGAGTATTGGAGGCTCAGTATTACTGGCAGTAGTTTGTGGGGACCAAAGCTAAACTTAAAAGGATGAAAAATGTACCGCTTACCTGAAAATGGCTTCTTGTAAATGCTGTTTGCCTCTTTGATATGTAAGCAGCCAACTGTTTCCCAGTTTAATGAGGTGAAAACATCTCTGTTTTGTTGTAACAGCTGCCTACAAGATGTAAATGAATAAATACGAAATCACTTAGTATAAGTCTAACATTCCTGCAGACAGTTCAGTTGAACTTTATCCAGAAAAACACATGACTCACTGTTTAGGTTTGTTTGGTATCAAAAAATACAGACTTTCTTGTTGAGCAGTGTTCCCACTAACAGACCAGCATGGAGTTATTTCACACAGTCCAGCGACACAGTCAGACACAAAAACAAAGCAAAACATGACAGGGAGAATAATCAGATATTATTCAGCGAGGCAAAACAAGTCCTCGCTCAGAAAACGTGTTTGATTTACTGGAGCAGGGCAGAATTTATTTGCTTACCCTCATGTTTGACCCACTCAGGCCCCCTTTACAAAATAAAATAAGCAATAACACATTGTCTTGTTACTTTGAGACAAACTGCGATTGGATCTAGTATCAAAACAGTGTTTTATTAGGAGCTGTGAATGTATTTGTCCTGATATCCCTCCAGAAGAACTTGCATATATTACTTTTTCTTTAAGAACTTAATGGTATGTTTGTCGGCTGGATCATCTAAGCTTCCCACCTGCCCTCTTTATGTTTGTTTGTTCTTACCAAACTCAAACTCGTCTCTTTCAGCGACCTCTGAAAATGTCAAAGCAAAATATATGCAGTATAATAATATATGTGCATAACATCAAAACACTGACACATCCTTGATGGCATAACACACCGAGGGAGCACACTGACAAAGAAATGTTTCTCATTGATTTTTGACCACAGGGTACATTTGGAAGATTTAAATATAGATACAAAACTTTGTAAAATTGCTACAAAGTGAAAATTGATGACAGTGAAGGGGTCTTATGTGAAATGAAAAGCACCAGCAGACCTCAGTATCTTTGTGCCGCAGATAAGGTCTCCGTCATCACAGCGCCGGAAGATGCCTGTGGTTTGGATTCTTGAGATGGACTGTACGTTGCTCTGATTTCAAACGAGTGGGAGACGGGCTGTTCCCTCAGCAAAGCCGGAGCTGACTCAGACACTCTCGACCCAGCGCCCCAAATCACACAGCAGTGTTATTTGCCAGAGGATACAATCAAGGAAACACATCAAAGTTCACTCTCCGGAGCTGGAGCCGCTCACATGCATCCCCTCAGTATAGGCCTGTATGCACACAAACACATTCATAGATTTGTGTGCTAATTACACATGAATACTCTAAAGCCTGACTCATAATGAAAGAGCAATTAGGCCTCTCCATCACTGGCTTTGAACCAAACCAAGCTCGACTTTTACACAGCGGGCTGATTTTCAACGTCTGCTGACTAGCCACATGTTGGTGTGTCTGACCTAACTGTTGGACCTCAGAGTCGATCAGTGGGCTTCCCGCCCACCTCAATGCCTATAGGCTACCTTCACTTCCTTCTGTTTAGACTCCTTATGCACAACCAAACACTCCTGTTTTTATTGAGTAATAAGGCTGCTGCTGTCTCTATGTTATGCTCAGTCTACAACTGTTGCTCTATAAGGTTAATATTTTAAAGGCATGGTTGACGATTGGAGAGATTGGTAATTATTATGAACCTCGTTTTTATGTTGATCATGGTCCTGTAGTGCGATCTCCACAATGTGAAGAGAAAAAAGGACGGACAAAATCCGTTCACCCTAGCAGGTGCAGGGCTGCAAAAACATTGACCAATGGGAGCCATCCGTCCCAGACAGCTCCTATTGGTCAATCTCCTTGCTCCGCCTCTCCATCCAATCACCTCGCTGTATTCGACACACCCCTCTCCCGTAGTTCCGACTCATCCCCTCACACTCCCCCGGCTCTCCTCGAAGCTCTGAGCGGCTAGCGTAGCAGCTTAGCTACAGAAGCTGTGATGGAGAAGAACGCAACAAAAGAAAAAAAAAACAACTTCTGCTTCTTCAGAGAAAGGGCAGAGTCGAAGAGGAAATGTGACCAAGCGAGGACTCTAACTTAAATAAACATCGGGTCATCCTTCAAGCAGAGGAGAAAGCTCTGCCGGGATTTGGGTCTGAAATCAGACACCAACAGAGTTTTTGTTGAACAGGTAATTTTTACCTTTTATCCTGGCACATGTTACATAAATAACTCTTATTAGTCTCTGCAACGTCAACATGGTGGCTGTCCAGGCAGCTGCAGACGGTGCTCGCTAGCAGAGCTGGCGTTTACTGCCACACTAGCAATCCAACATGGTGGATCCTATTTGACGTTGGGTAGGATCTTATGCCGGCCGGCTTCTTGCTCTGCCAGAGGTATCTGGCATCTTCTTAAACACAATTGAAGGCAAGGAAGTGTCTTAACGCTAATATTTGCCGAATACTACATGATGATGGCTAGTTATCAAATTTCTAATTTTTCTCCATCATTTGTTTGTAATGTCGCTCAAGTCCAAAGTCCTAAAATGATTATAGTTGTCCAACTTCTCTGTTTACACAACCAAGACTATGTTCATACAGCGCTACATTAAAACGCCTTTCCTTTGTGTTTTAAGATAATCTGTGTTCCTGACATTATGAAAAACAATCTTTGTGCATGACTGAGAGCCATTCTTCAATCGAGCACTGAAGTAAATTTGATTCAACTGGAAATGTAATATGTTTAGGCAGTAAATTCACAGTATTCAAAGATTTTCATACTGCCAGTTTAAATGGCTAGAGAAGGGATGGCGTATTCAAGAGATTCAACCCTAGAGCCTGCTTTTAAAAGCTTGTATTTTCAGCTGTCTGGATGTTGTCACCATGTTACAGTTCATTATTTTTAACTAGATATGTTTCCATGTAAATATCTCCTAACACAATATAAAAAATGAGGGTAGGGAAATCTTTTCAGCTAATTAAGGTTATGAATTGTGTGATGAGTTGGAATTGGTTGTGCATTGTGCATGCATGCATATGTCTGAGTGTATTAGTGTAAGTGAATTCCAACCTTGAGCCTAAGTGGCTGCTGTGTGAATGATACGGCGGCTTGTCTTCCTATGGATGGATAGAACCAGGATGAATTCACTCCTGACGGTGACTCCATGTTTCTGTTTGTGTGACTCCTCTCCTTGCTCAGCTTGATGATTTTCTAATGTTCCCTGTAATCTCTTGTAATCATGGTGCTGTGGGAACTTAAACACATGTTGCCACAACAAACGATCTCGGCCCATCTCAATTTGTCCATCAAAGACACAAGTCCAGTTTGTCCCAAATCACACACTGACATCACACTGCAGGCAAGCTAGACGTGTCCATACATATTAATGAAGACATAAAGTCATTTATTCAGCAGCTGATTTACATTGCAGAGTTGAGAGGTTCTAAATCAAAGGGATTTCAAAACACTTTACAAGATTTGCAAATTAGATGAGACAAGCTGTTTATTTCTCTACATGTTGTAGCTTTTGGCCCTAAACTTCATTTAATCTTAATTCCTTCATTAGGTAAGTACGAATGCAGTTGTACATCAATAAAGTTAGTCAAACACATCTATAAAAATCAAGTACTGTTTGCACATAAATGCATGCTCCGAATATATCGTCAAAAGTGCTGCAGTCATAAAGCATGTAGGCTCACAAAGCAATATATAATACCCTATATTAATCTTTTTCCTCGGTTGGCACTCAGTAAAACATTATCTACTTGCCTGCTTGTCTCTCGTCTCGAGGGGGAGTGCGCCGGTGGAGCAGAGGAGGTAGGACAGATTTAGGATTTGTATGCGACGAGAGGCACCTTTAGGAGGAGTGTGTCTGGTCTGTCTGACGCTCTTTGATTCTCGGCGGGGAGGGAGCAGGAGCTCGCTCAGACGGAGGAAAAGACTTATGAGCTTTATTGATCACAGGGTCGTATAGAGCGGGGAGTCTCCGTCTGCATAAAACAGAGCTTTTATTGACATCAAGGCTGCAACAGGTGAGGTAACTGAAGAAATCATCGAGGTGAGAGAGTAAATTCAGAGGAGAAGCTTTAAAAAAGAATGGTTGTGTTCTGAGTTTTTTTTAGCGGGGATAAAACTCAGAGGTATTTAAATCCACCAGTGACAGATTATTGCATCAATTCTGTAACCTGACACGACCGTTCGGTTCACTATTTCACTTTTAAATCGATGGAAAATATTATGTACACTGCTGCACACAAAGCCTTAATGATCCCCCTCTGACTGACTGAGGCATAAAAGAATTACATGTCATTATTGTTACAGTCAATCGAGCCATGACGCCAGTGAGTTTTTCCTGTTTAAAAAAAGGCCTTCAGTATAATGAAAGCTCCTACTGCTAGACTAGCGATAGAAAAAGATGAAAAAAAAAGTTATTTGTATGTTTGTTTCACATTTTGAACTATCAGACACTATTTTCTAAGGGATTGTGTTAGGTTTTTTGAGCTGCCAGACAAAAAAATAGGTGACTATTGTGTCATGTGCCAGGGTAAAAAACAATCGGGGAAAGGATGCTGAACAAAAAAAGAACGAAATAAAAAGCAACAAAAACTTACCTTGATGTCCAACTGAAAAATTCCTAAGGCAAAAAAACAAACAAAACAAAACAAAACAAAAACAAAAAAACACAAGAAGCAAAGAACCAAAAATTACAAGCATGCACACATGTTGACATACATACAATGAGCCAACAAGGACAGAGGGGAAGACAGGGACGATATACACACTGGGAAACGAGCCACAGGTGAAACTCATAGGTGATTAACGAGGGAGGGAAAACTAGGTAAGTAAAAACAGACTAGAAACACAAGGAATCAAGTTCTACAAAATAAAATGGGAATCACTGAGAACTGGTCTAAAGAATAACAGTCAGTGCGTTTACATGAACAGCTTAATCGGACGAAGCTCATAGTAATTCAAAAATGAATTATTGATGTTAATGTGTCCTCCTTCCCAAAACTAGGGGGCGATATGGGTCTTTTAAGGGGCGCTGTTTCTGAGCCTTTTTCAAAGATGTCGCCGCTCCTCGTTGTGCGACCGTCGATAAACTTTAAAAAGCCAATTTCTTTCAGGAGGGAAAGCATAACGGCACTCTCCTCGTCATTCCAGAAGTGGACATTCTTTTGTGCTTCAGCCATGTTGCAGTTGCTTTTGAGCTGAAAGTTCTTAAAATGAAAGTGCCACTTCTTCTCTGGTGTTTTTGTTCATGCATTGTCTGATAAAACTCTGACTACACTGGTTACATGGTACAGAAAATCAAATTCCAATTGCATTATCTGGGTGTTATAATCAGACTCTCAAACTCTGATTACAGTCAGACTAAGGTGTTTACATGCACTTCAGTTGTCTGGTCTTAATCAGAATGAGGCAATAATTCAGTTTTCTTTAGAGTCATGTAAACGTAGTGAATGACAACATGAGGGAAAAAACGGGGTTAAACAAACTGAAAACTCACAAGACAGGATCACAGGAACAATAGAGAACAGAAACACAAGGAAAAACACAAAGAAAATACGCTCAACAAAACCTGGGAAAACTAAATCAACAGAACATATCGTGACATCTTGAGCAGAAACTTTCCTTGTACTGAAAAAATACTGGTTGGTTTTGTGAGCTCAGCTGTGATTTGGAAGGTTGAAGAAGACAAAGATATCCTTTATTAATTCCCCTTGGGGGGGAAATTGAATTTTTCACTCTGGTGTTATACATGCTACGCACACATGCACAAAAAACTCTATTGGGAAAACACTGAACTCTGGGGCCAGTTGGCGAGAACTATGATTTTTCTTCTCTTTCATTTGTGTTGTTTTTTTTCCCTACAAGTCTGCAGAAGCTGTGACCTAGAAAACAGATGTATGTGATTGTGCACACAAGGCTGGAAGTCATGCAGGTGACTGTGGCGACTACTTTGCCAAGACGCTGCTCTAGAAAATAAGTTTTTGCTGCAGCTTTCTTTGCTGGACGCAGCTTTATCAGCGTAAATGTCCTTTTTGATGCCTATTATGGTCCAGAACGTCGTCTTAACCACGGCCTTCAAAGTGCATTTCAGCTTCTTCTCGTGTGCCAGATATTTGAGTCCATCTATCTGAGACTTTTCTGTTTGGGAAGTTTAGTTTCAATAATATACCTGTTGCTAGGCACTAAGCCCCCGCTTTACACATCCACGGTTTAACAAAAACAAGCGTGTGTGTATACAACAGGGGGTCAGACGCCATGTGCCACGACTGCTGCCAGAAAGAGCGCTGTGGTAAACTGCCAACCACTGTGGTCTGGTACTCCAACAGCCATTCAGCCCCAGTTCACTCCCCCCTCCTCCCTACAGCAGCAGGCTCTAAAATAAGATAAGACAACTGAGACGATTTTCAAATGAGAGCACTGGCATTGGCTTCTGTGCTCACTCAGACTCCCACTGAGGGTTGATTTTTCTTTTTGTTTAAACAGGAAAAGTGAGATTCGTCTCTATGGTGGCGGAGGAGCAGCAGGAGGAGTAATTGTTGCTTAGTGAAGCCGTGGTAGACAGGTGAATTCGAGCTGGCTTTGGTTTGTTCAACTTTGATTAAGAATTCAGCTCATATCATGTGAAGTAAACACAACACATACACACAAAAACACACACAAATTAAGCCCAAAAGCTTTCCAGTAACATAGTCTAACACATTATATTAAACTATATTACATCAAACTCTAATCTACCTCTTTTAATACTTCCAACTGCTTCATCATGGGGAGATAATGGGAGGTCAGGCTGATAGTCATGTTGTCCTGAAGTGCCCATCTCAGTCTGCCAAGACGTCTGTTCATTCCTGAAGAATGTGTTCCCGACAACAGCGTTGACTCGCCTCCCCGGAGCCATCACTGTTCGTTGGCACACGAGCAGCGAGAGGCAGTGCTGTTTGAGGATAAAGCTTTGGTGAATGCTGTGGTGTACCAGGACCGGTGCCAGGCTGACACAGGAACTGCAGGCGAAACACCTCCTCTGCCAGCCCTGCGTGCCCCTTTCTAAAAATATTCTCACGTGCAGCCACAATAATGTAACAGGATTTTTTCCGCCTCCATTCTTAGCTGAAGGCTGCTTTGTTAACGCTGCTAGCTTGACTGGCATGTGGACGACTGATTTGTAGTAGTTGTAATTGATGTATCAGCTAAAGCATATCTAGCACTTTCTCTTTAGTTCTTGTCATGCATTATATGGAAGCACGTATTTGGAAACAAACAGCATGATTACCTTTTCAAAAGTAGCCTTCTTTCTTGGTAAATGGGTAACCTAATTATTATTTCACCGGTTTCACAATCTCTGACCAGTCTTTTGGAAGGAGCTCGAGAAAATTGGCTCCATTATTTAACTCAGACTCAGTTCTGTGGCTTTTAATCAAACACCGTTTTCCCGTTTATCTCCACCAGCTCCCCCACAGTTTTATCTGTTCTCTTTGTAGACCCATTTTAAGCAATTACTCGCCTATGTGATTGTTGTGATACATTTTTAAAAGAATCAAACTTTGATATTTAATTGCAGACTACATTTAGGAACACATTTTAACACCCCCCTGTGACATTTCTCATGTTTTGATTCTTAACAGTGTGTTCATTAGTAGGGGGCTGCGACAGCTCAGTAATTACACGTGTCTATGCTGTTAATGGGGGTTTTTGTGCGCCGGTGATAAAGATTGTGCCTGTTTTGACTTACATCTCGCTGGTGTGTATTTGTTGTGTGGTCCTTTGTAATAAAAACAAGGACAGCAGTTAGCTGAGGTACAACACCTTTTCTCTGATTAGACTTACTAAACAGGATAATGATTCCCAAGAGAGTGTGTCTCCATCGCTCCGCTTGCCCTGTCACTCTCCGCACCGCCATCGCCATGGTGATCAAAGCCAGATGTGCTCACTTCTGTTGCTGCAAACAAAGTGCTACTGTACTCGCTGTTTTTACAGTTGTCACTCTGCTCAGTGCCACAGCCCTAAGGGAATCTGCTCGCTATTGCAGCAACAAAAGACGGACTTTAAAGCACAACAGAGTCCTTTCTTGTGGGCTGTCATATTATTTGGACGACGCGTAGAGTTAAAATAATATACGTTTGAAAGCTGAAATGCACCTTCAATTATGTAGTTACTGTAAAGCTGCAATGACACAAAACAAACTGTTTTAGAAACCAGATTTTTCTCGATAAACTGTTATTGTATTTCTGTAAAATCTGACAGCTTTCTTCTCATAACACGCAGGATCTCGAGTTTGGTTTATCGCACTTCCCTTTACCTGATTGCCTTTCTTTTATTCCATCTGTGGGTTTTTGATAAACTGCTCTCCTATTAATAGCCCTTTTTTGATCTCATGTTGGGTTCGAGTTTTTCTCCTCTCCTTCAAGCTAAACTTATTAAACTATCAAGAAACCGCACAACAAAGATCAGCTGCTGCTGACAAAAGCAGCAGTGAAGCAAACCTGACTAATTTGTTGTGACTGTAGCGAATGAGCGTGCAGAAAGTTCAAACCGCAGGATACCACTCAGCTGTTTGAAGAGGGAATAAATCAGCGATTTGCGACAAATAGCGAGATGTTGAATATCTGCTGTGATACTTTGCATGATTGCCAAATGTGAGCGATTTGTTTGAAAAGAAGCGACAAGGGACAAGTTCTCTGTTTCTCACGCGCTTGCTTTTAACAACAAAAACATCAACAAACGTCTGAACGAGTCAGAACTACAAAGAGGAGAACTGAAAGAGGGCAAAAACGTACATGGATGTGATGAAGCCTTGATCAAAGAAATCCAGACAGGAGACACAAAAACACACCTGCAGTGACAGATGGAGGTAGCCCCAGTACAGAAGAGAGAGGGCAACACAGCGCTGAGAGACACCAGTGGAGAGGAATGAGGGAGGAATAATAAAGAAGGTGGGACGACGCCGATGTTGATTTAAGTAAGTGTTCAACCACAAGCACTGAACAAGCACTTTGCACAGACATGAACATTTCATCTGAGACCCGTCTGGGTTTGATCTATAAACAGGAAAGAACAACCAGAGCTCGACTCGTCCCTGGATGACACCATTAGGGGTTTTGGTTTACCACCACGACCGTCTCCACCTGGATCTGAGCCCAACAACAAGGTGACCCAGCTCTGGGAGCGCGATGATCAGACGGGTTCTGCCACACAGGGACGCTCCATGCTGCAGCTTTACTGTTCACAAGAAGAGAATAAGGGAAAACAGACATCAGCTGTTTGATTGTGAGAGAAAAGTACATGCTCAGTACAAACTCAGGCATTCAGGAGTTTGAAGGGGGAGTTTTTAAAGACGAAGGGCTTGAAATAGTCAGTGCATGGATAGCTGGGTTGGTTCAGTGAGAAGATTCAATGCTTAATACATTTGTTAGCCAAAACAATGTGACCACCACCAGGTAGAGAGAGTGACATTGATGATCCATTGGAAAAATGAGCCGGATGTGCCGGATTGTAATAGCTAGACAAAAGGGTCAGAGTATCTCCAAAACTGCAGCTCTTGTGGTGCGTCACGATTCAGTACTGACCAAAAACTTAGAAATCTGCAGCAGAATCACAGGCGGCCAAGATTCACTGATGTGCACCGGGGGCAAAAGCTGGCCTGTGTGGTCCTGTCCAACAAAAGAGCTTTTAAAACACCAATTGCAGGAAAAGTAAACACTGGTTCGAATAGAAAAGTGTCAGAACATTTATGTGATGTTCAAAAAATGGATTTATTGTGTTAGTCTGACTGAAACTGGACTTTTAAAATGTAGAATCACCAGCCCAACGAAAGTCATGTTTCTTTACGTTAGACCAAATACCTATTGATTGATTGTTTGCAAGTGTGCGACACAATCAGCCCCAAACTGGCCGAGGTGTTCTTGGTGTGCTTTACAGTTTGCAGGACAGGCTTTCACCTTGAAGTTAATGACATACATGTGTAGAAGGAAGTTGGATAGTTAACCAAGACACAACAGAAGAAGAACAAAAGAAAAAGCTATCATACCATGTGAAGTTGTGCATGATTTCCCTTATGACAAACAGTTAGCCTCTTGCTAATTTGTTTGTCAATTGTTTTGGTACGTGACATAGTCAGTCATCTGGGAGTTAAAGGGATATTCCAGCGTACAATTAATAAATCCCAGCGAGTCCATTGACTGCAGCAGAGGGATGCAGCTCAAGGAAGAACATTTATGATCATTTTTTTATCATTTCCTTTAAGTAATAATCACCATATTAATCATTTTACACTGCAGACGTGGTAGTTCTTCTGCCTCAGCAATTCGGTCTGATTGCATTTCCACTAAGAAATGATCATAAATGTTCTTCATTGAGCTGTGTCACCCCACTGCAGTCAATGGACTCGCCAGGAGGTCTCTGTACAAAAAAGGGGCTGCTGGGAGTAGGTGAGTTGTGTTTAGTCTCTTTGCTAAAGAAATCAGGCAAAGTTAAAAAGATGTTTGGTGGCTAGTACTATGGCTGGGACCCTATATGTACTGTTGATGAAGTTAGGTGCTGTTCTGAGCATTATTTGTGGCTATAGAGTGGCATTTTGGTTGAGTGTGTGGCTCTCTGTATTGCTATCTGCGGTCGTTACTAAAGTTGGTATAACTAGAGAAGCAAGTGGTCTGCAACATTCATCTCTTGACAGGGCGTCTAACTCAGTGTTACTGTGTGTTTGACCCTAACTTAATAGTACACCGGAATATCCCTTTTAATCCAGTCTCATCTTATTCTAATGTAGTAACAGAGTTCACTGAGTGAGGGGTGTCTGATCTGTCAGGGCGCCGGTTGACGACATAAGTTCAAAGCTGGACCACAATGGAAACAGACAACCTGAACACATCAGCCAGAAGGACTGGAGTAGTGAAACAGAGGCTGTAGCTTTAGCATTAAAAACATCAGCTCAAAAACTTTAAAGATACGGTACCTTGTTATTTGGATATACAGCCTCTACCCTGAGTCTATGTTTCTGACCTCATACATATATAATGCCATTCACAGACAGTAATTCACTCATTTTTAACGATATAACACAATTTCTGATTAATCTGAAAAATATCCTTATGTGTCAGCCTTTGAAAAGCTTGAATTTGCAAACAGCTCAAGGATTTTTGCATCTGTGAACATTCATAATGTTTTTCTATTCAAATCTTAATATTTAATCGAATCTTTTAAACTTTCGCTGTACAGACAGCAGCAGCCATGAAAACAACCATGATCCCAGCATGAGGGCATAGACTATAACCTCTCTCAAAAGTTGAAAAGATTTTTTTTTTTTTTAATCCTTAAAGCATCTTTTAAGGCTTCAGGTCTTCCTCGCCTCAGGCTTACACACCTAACTACAGTGAATATTTGCCGTGAGAGTTGCCAGGTGCACAAGCGCGGCAGAAAAACTTCCAGTGTAGACATTGACACAGAGCTGCAGCCCCTGACTTTCATGATGTAGACTGTGTCAACACCGTGTAAGAACATCATACTTTCTGGATTATAAAAAGCGGTTGCCAGTCAGCCTAATCCCGGCAGCAATTACGTTCCCCACCAAAACCTATTTGGCGAGTCAAATTAATAGCATTTCATCACGTTTTGTTGGAGACAGAAACGGGTGGCTGGTTCCTTCCTCACTGCTCTCTACAGCTGTGACTGACATCATCAGCAGTGAATTACAAAATCATTCTGCCAAACAACCTGAAAATAGAAAGACATCTTTTTTTTTTGTCTGCGTGTGTGTGTGTGTGTTTTTGCAGCAGAAAATGTCCTCAGTATGATGTTTACAGGCAGTTATAAATACAGCAGTGCTCAATCTTTGACTCTTGGGGAAAAGAAATAGTGACAAATCTGTTGATCTGCTTTGTACTCCCCTCCCCTCCTCCTCTTCCTCTACAAATCCTCAGACACATTTTTAACTTCATCTCCAATCAAAGAAGCCCAGATTGCAATCTGCTACACAATATGTTTTGCTCCACTTTATTAGGCCCATAGATAAACCTCATGGCTGGAACACAGGCCTGTGAGTAATGAAGGCTCCCTCAGCATAACAAGATCCTACCCTCCTTATGCTCTCCTTTCTCCTCTCAATTTGTGCCGAGGATGAGTTTAGCCGGTCATTTTCCTTCCTCCCTTCACGGGTGCAGGTCCGCTGCACAGATGCTGGAACAAAACGTAATTATTTTTTAGATCTTGAAAGCATGCAGGCAATTAAATCCAGTGGATTGACAATATCTATGCAAGTACAGGTTCTTATTCCTGATGTGGACAAAATGTATTCTGGCTAATCAAATTATATTCTCAGTTAGACACAGTGTTCCTACCGGACTCAGACACACATACAGACACACACACCAGTTTTTTTCTTCTTCCATAAATCACAGTTAAACAGGCAGAGAAAAGACCAGATTCAGGAGACATTTGGTGACTCCTATCATTTTGATCTGTACAGGAAAGACTATAAATCAGATGTAAATTAGGAGCATGTTTACTGCACATTTATTATCTATTAGACACCTTCAGCGACTACAAGTTAGGCAAAACAGAAACACCCACACATAACCTCAAAGATCAAAATGACAAAAGGGAAGCCAATGTAGATATTTTAGGACATAAACTTAGAGTCGAGGAAAGAGAAGGGAGAAAACGATTCAAATGTCTGTTCTTAAGCAGCGATTTAATGGAAAGCTGACTCACTGTTAAAGTAGGGGGGCTGTTACATCCTTGTAAATAGAAAGGGTTGATCTTCACCTGTTCACTGAAGATCACTCTGCAGCCAGATCAAACACAGTCACCGAGTGAGCAACTACAACAGCAGGCAGCTCAGCTCTGCCAAACAGCTGAGTGCATCACCGGGCAGGTGTTTTTGTCTGGCGCGGCTCCAGATGGGGACAGTTGTGTTGCTCCCAGTGTTGCAGATATTTACCAGCTGACAGGTCACAGCCAGCAGACCCTGTCACATAGAGGGTTAACTGATCCGCGGATCTCTCGCCCCCTGAATCTCTCAGCTTTCATCCCACATGACTTTATTTACTGTAAATTGTTGATTTATGTTTTAAAGGAGGCATATGTTCAGCACTTTGCCTTTAAGAGTCTTGTTTAATTAAGGAATTGTGTGATAAAAGTACACACATGCTCCTCACAAGCTGTGAGTCAGGTGTGC